TCTGTTTGACTATATATATTGTCACAGAACTATTGACTAAGAGCGTAAGCACGTGAAGTAGAAGAAGAAATAAGATGAGCGAAGAAAAGAAAAATGAAATGACAGACAGGCAAAGAGACAGACAAACTAGAATGACACAAAACAGTGTCCTCTTCTTCTTTGTTTCACTGTATTCTTATTTCTTTCAGTGTTTTACAAAATGTTTTTACAGTGAACAAAGGATAAAAATAAAGAAAAAAGACACATTGAAATCAGTCTTCTTAACTCCTCCTCCACCGTGCCTGTAACGTACAAGGCCCGCCACGTTGATGAAGTTGAGCGCGAGCTGCCCTCATCCCCGTATGCCATAACAGCCCACTTGCACGCTATCGGAAAGAGGCAGAGTGAGAGAGGAGCAGAAAAGGAAAATCAATAGGCAGAGGGGGAAAAAACAAAAATAACATAAGGGTGACACAAACATCTTCTTTCTTTTACTGCATTCTTCTTTCTTTCACAGTTTTGCAGTTTTGGTGAAAAGGGTCCACCACCCAACTCCACCGCGTTCGCTTTTCAGCGCACCTGCACTTCCTTCTTCACTTTCTTTTCTCATTTCATTTTTCTTTGAGGGTGTTAGGGGGTGCAGGGTACAAACAAAGGAAAATGACACAAACTTACGTGCTTCTTTTACTGCATTCTTCACTGTTTTGCAGTTTTAGTGAAGGGTTTCCCACCTTTGCACATKCTTGTACACTCTTTTCAGCGCACCTRCACATTTTTGTCAGGGTGCAAGGTACGTCTAAGTAAGACCCTCACGACAGATAGGACAACTATCATAAGGATGCGGGCAATGGTAGCAGCCCTCCCACTGGTCTATACGTTTGTTGTCCTCTTCTCCCTCTCTGCCTACAGTTTACCGGGCAGCTCTGTTTGACGATATCTTCTCCCTCTGTGCCCACGGTTCACCGGGCAGCTCTGTTTGACGATCTATATAGCGCAATATTGGTTGCTATATGGTATAAACTGGCTAAGTGGCCCCTGAGCCAGTTCTCAAAAGCATCCTTATCATTTAGTTGATCCAAGTCCATGGCCTATTTTTGGTTCACTGGGAGCTTTGGCAAGTACCATTGGTGGTGTTATGTACATGCATTCTTATACAGGAGGTACGCTGTGCCTTAGTTTAGGTTTAGGAATGATTTTGTATACCATGTTTGTATGGTGGCGTGATGTAATACGTGAATCCAAGTTAACAACAAAAAGCTAGTAAACATCAGAAAGATGGGTATCAGCATAGAAAGATGTATTGATGTACCAAATTGGCTTAACCAATGAGAGTGAAACAGGCTCTGACGGCCACCGCACCCAGCAAGGGGCATCAGCAGAGTGAAGTGGGATGTGTTGAAGGACCAGTACATCCGAGCCTCGTTCTGCCATGGCGGAGTCGCACTGCGGGCTGAGCCATGCCAGTTCTGCCGACCCGCCAGTGACCGCTTTTTTCTGTTTTTCTCAGCTGGTCCCACGGTCCATTGTGGTCCTGTAGCCCCCAGCCCCCCCAAAGCCCCCAAAATGTTTGGACTGGCTCGATTTGGATTCTCTAGTTTCCGTGGGAGGTGTACAGGCCTTTTAACACAACCAAGAGCCAAAGGGGGATTATCAGTGCGTTTCGAAATTTGGCTCCTATGTATGGGAGCGAAGCCCTGATGCTCAAAATCCTCATCAGATTGCTGACTGGAAGAGACATACTCTGGTCTCCGACGCTCTGCTCTGCTCTGCTCGCTCTCATCAAAATCCGGAATCTAGGATGGGAGCCTCTGGTAACAAAAAAAAGAAAAAGAAAAAAAAAGAAAGGAAAAGAAGTGCAGCGATCGGAGAGTAGTCCAGCGGGGGCCCATGTTCTTTCTAGCGGTTCGTTTCGGTTTCATTTTGCACATTCGGAGAGTAGCGCAGCGGGGCCCAATGCTTTTGTGGACGTTCATCGCAGTGCCAAGGTTTGGTATTTCACCGGGGGGGGGGGGGGGGGTTTACGTGTCATGGGGCCTAACTCTTCCTTACGWTTTWTTGGCTATGGCCTTGAAGAATGATCGTGGGAGGGCCTTTTTTTTTTTTTTTTTTTTTCATTTTTATAGTACTCCAGGTGAAGTGCTTCGGGTTGAGCTCGAACTGCGGTCTGTATTTTCAGTGTACGGGTGAGTCTAGTTTAGGGAATCGGTATTTCAAGCTCAGGCCTCCGTACTCGAACTCAGGCCTGTATTTCCCCCCCAAGTATGGGCATCGCCACACCACTCTCCGAATGTGCAAAATGATAATGAACTTCCTGCTAGAACATGGCCAGATGCACCCGCCACAATTTTGTCTTTTTAACATTTCGAGAGTGCTGTGGCGAGGCCCTGCATGGGTCCACCTTCTCCAGTAGGCCTTCCA